CTGCTGGAACCTCGCTGGGTGTTCCACGGTGCACGGGGTTCACAGACAGGGCGTGGAGCAGGAGCGAGCCGGTAGTTTCGGGGTGAAAAGTCATTTTCCCTGCTCTCAGCCTTCCCCAGGTCCCCGGCACACCGGGGTTCCCTGGCACGGGGTCGGGGGGGGATCCCTCTGCCTGTTGAGGGGCGGAGGTGGATCCAGCTTTACTCCAGGCTGAAGGGGAGGTTGCACAACCCGGCCCCGGGGGAGAGCGAGGCGGGTTCAGGCTTTGCTCAGCTTTTGGCTCCAGCCCTCTTTGCTTTCCATAACCTTCCTCTGGCGTCTGTGTAGCGCTTTACTACCCCGGAGCCATTCGGGATTCAGCTCCCCAGAGGAGGAGGAGGTGGCTCTAGAGGGTGTGTAAACCTTCCTCATCCTCCTCTTCTCCCTCGACTCCGAGTCTCTGAGCACTGTTTGCCGATCTCCCCGTGCAGATGTCGACCTACAAGCGAGCGACGCTGGACGACGAAGACCCTCTGGACTCCCTTGGTGACGGGGATGGATACCCCAACGGCTTCCAGGTAGGGCTTTGTGTGTCTTTTAGGGGGCAAAAAAAGTGGGATTTTAGGTCCAGGCAAGTGGCAAAGGGGGTGCAGAAGGGTTTTCCACCTGAGACCTGTGTCCACGGGGTAAAGTCTGGCGTGGGCAGAGTCCTGTTGGCTCCTGCTGCCTCTGCCCTTTGCTCCTGGCACAGGGAGCCAGCGGGGCCATATCCTGGCTCTGTTGTTTCAACTCCCAGTTTTTTCTGCCGGCCCTTCCCAGAGTGTGGCTGGGGTGAGCAATTATCGTGGCATTGGCAGTTTTGTCCGGGCACAAAAGGGGATTAGGTTAATTCCTCCCCAGGCAGCAGGAAAGCAGCTTAAAGAGGGCCGAGGGTGGCGAGAAAAACCCCCACGGCTGCCAGTGTGGGAAGGTTGAGGTTCGGGTCCGGAGCGATGCTCTCGGTGCTGGCCCCGCTCCCAGCCCCAGCACTCTCTAGAACGGTGGTTTCTGCCCCAAACGTGTTTTTACTTCTCCCGGCGGGGCCGTCTCCACTCGCCGGCGCATCGGGATGTTTCCTGGGGATGTTTTTCGGCTGAGTGGGAGTATCCTGTCAAGGCACTTCCCGACGCAGCCCCCACCCTGTCCCAGTGCCGGCAGCGGGGCCGGGACACCCGTGGGGTTAGGCCGTGCTCGAGGAGGGGTTTGGGGTGGCACAGGGCAGCAGGTGAACCCGCCGAAGCGCTCGTCCCGCTCCCTTTCCTGCCATTGTGCCGCCCTTCCTGCCCAGTTTCTGGAAGGCAGCTGCCGCCTTTCCCAGCCCGATCCCTTGCCGGGGGCCAAGCGAGCGCCGTGGGGCTGCAGGGAGCACAATGGGGGCTGTGTGGGTGGGTTTCTGCACGGGCGGGGAGACGATGCTGCTGTTCCCGCAGGTGAACCTGCGCGGCTCGCGGGGCGGCCGCGGCTGCTGGGCCGAGCGGACACGCGCCGAGAAGCAGCTGCTAGTGCTGGTGGGGGTGCTGGCAGTGGTGCTGCTGGCCTGTCTGCTGGGACTCATCTTCCAGTACAGAGCCAGTAAGTCCTCGTGCAGCGCAGGGATCCTGCCCCTGTCGGCGGGGCGGGTTGCTGGGGGTGTTCCCAAGATGGGATGTTTAGTGCAGGGCGGGGTGGTCACCTGCATCCCAAGCGCCTGGGCTTGGGGACCAGGCAGGATGTTCAGGTGTGGGGTGGGATCCTTGGGCACAAGACAGGATGGTTACCTGCATCCCTTGCCCCAGAGGAGATGCTCAGATGCAGTGTAGGGTGCTCCCTTTATCCTGGGTCTTGATGCTTAAGTGGAGGATGGAAAATTTGCCCTCATCCTTCACCCCGGGGTGGATGCTTGGGCACCGGGCGGGATCCTTGGGTGTAGGATGAGATGCTTGCCCACATCCGTTGCCCTGGGATGGGATTATCAGGTAGGGTGCTTGGGCATGGACTGGGATGCTGGTCCATGCTGCTTGGCCTGCAGCAGGATGTTAAGGTAGGAGGTAGAAGGTGGAATGCTTGGGCCTCAGGTGGGATATCTGCCCAGTCCTTCAGTGTGGGGCAGGATGCTCCATGGGGCAGCTCATGGCACTGTGGTGGAGGAGCTGAACCCCTCCCTGCTGCCCCCAGGGCCGCCTGCCGTGTGCCTGTCGGAGTCCTGCATCTCCGTCACCAGCTCCATCCTCAGCTCGCTGGACCAGGCAGTGAATCCCTGCGAGGACTTTTTCAGCTACGCCTGCGGGGGCTGGATCAAGGCCAACCCCCTCCCCGACGGCCACTCGCGCTGGGGCACCTTCAACAACCTCTGGGAGCACAACCAGGCCATCATGAAGCACCTGCTGGGTGAGTGCAGGGGGTCCCTGTTAGGTCCCGGGGATGCCAAAAACCTGTCCGTGGGGATATGGGGTTGGAATCGAACTCCAGTATCAAACCAATCAGTGACACACGTGCTGCAAGGACACAGGGAAACAGATCCTGGCTGTCTTTGCTCTCCTGGATGCTCCTGGGATTTTTGACCGTGGTGTTGCTGCTCTTTGGTGCCAAGTAGAGAAAAGGGTCCTGGCCTCTGCTCTGCAGGCCCCACGGCAGCATTCCCAGGAGCTCTGAAACTCAGGATTTACACTCCAGAGCCTGCAATATCGCCCCAAGGATATGAATTTTTCCTGCTCTTTTAGCTTCCAGCCTTTGTTGAGCAGCCTTTTTGGAGGTCTGGCTGCCAGTATGGCCATTTTTTGGGGGGCCTAAACTCCTGCAGCAAAGGGAGGCTCCCGGGTTCAGCCTCTGCGTGCGAACACTGAAGCGGAGCTGCTTATCCGAGCAACCGGCAGGGACGGTTTGTTCAGGCTTTGAGCAAACAACTGGCTCCTTATCAGCACTTTCCACTACGCCAGGGCTGATTATCTGGAAAGAGAAGGTTTGGGAAGAGTGCTGTCTTTTGGGAGAAGGGGGGTGGCGCGGGAAGGGCTCCGTCCCTGGCTCTTCCCGCAGAAATCTGGCGCTGGTTTTACCAGGAGAAGGGACTGGGCCTCCGGCCAAATGGTCGCATTCGGCATTTCCTTGAATTCCTTGGAGCTGAGGGACCTTCAGTTAATAAAACCACACAGCTGGGAAGCCAAAGGTGCAAGCTGTGTCATCAGGAAAATAAATAAAAAAACCCCAAAAAACTCTCTGGGGAGGCAGAATTTTAGCAGGGGGGGAGATAAAAGGTTGGTTTCAGAGGCAGAGAAGAAAAATGGGTTTATTGTTCTTTTATGCAGGAGTAAATAATGAAGGGCTGGGGGGCAGCAGCACAGAGGCAAGGGCAGCACAGGGGGCTGGATGATGCTGGGAATATCAGAGCTGCTGGAAAAATGCTTTTTGTTTTTTCTTTCTTTATCTTTCGTTCCCAAAGAGCTGGAGCAGTCGCTGCGGGTGGGAAAGGGGAGGGGGGCAGGAGGCCAGGAAGGGCTGGGGCCGTGGGATGCTCTCAGGGGCACGGAGGGGCCCGTTGGGGCAATCCTTGGCGCCGGTTTGGAGCCTGGCTTTGCTCAAAACGGGGCTGAGTATTTCCATGGTGCAAGGGAGGGGGGGCTCCAGTGTAATCAGCAGCCCCCACTTGGGTTGGATGCCCATCCCTGGGGACCCCCTGTGATTCCCCCTGGGGACCATCCACAGAAAACACCACGGCCAACGTGTCGAGCGAGGCGGAGCGCAAGGCACAGCGCTATTACCAGGCCTGCATGAACGAGAGCAAGATCGAGGAGCTGCGTGCCACCCCCCTCATGGAGCTCATCCAAAAGGTCTGTCCCGCTCCTCGTGGAAAGGCCACCTTCTGTCTGCAGAATGGGGGGAAAAAAATCATTTAGGAGCAGTCCTAACACCCTCCAGACTCCATTCCCAGCTCTTCCTGGAAAACAGCATCCCCCAGGGCAGGCAGGCCAGGAGAGATTTATTAGGGATTTATAATCCTATAATGTATTAGGTTTATAACCCTATAATGGGGCTTTTTAGCCCCCTTTCAAGATGCTTCCCCCAGGATGGGTATTGGGGGGGTATCGAAGCAACCCCAGGTGGTTGTCCCTTACCCAAAAGCCGGTTGCTGTCTGTCCCCAGCTGGGTGGGTGGAACATCACAGGAACCTGGGCCGGTGGCAGCTTCAATGAGACGCTGCGGGAGGTGACGGCGCATTACCGCACCTCGCCCTTCTTCTCCGTCTACGTCAGCGCCGACTCCAAGAACTCCAACAGCAACGTCATCCAGGTGGATCAGTCGGGGCTGGGCCTGCCCTCGCGGGATTACTACCTGAACAAGACGGAGAATGAGAAGGTGAGGGTGTCAGGGGGGATGTGGGTTGGCTGGGGAGGTGCTGTGGGTGGGTGGGTGGGTGGCACCTGCCTTGCTGATCCCACCCGGTGCTGATCCCACCCAGGTGCTTGCTGGCTACCTGAACTACATGGTGCAGCTGGGGATGTTCCTGGGAGGCACCGATGAGGAGTCGACGCGCCAGCAGATGCAGCAGATCCTGGACTTCGAGACGGCGTTGGCCAACATCACCATCCCCCAGGAGAAGCACCGGGATGAGGAGGTCATCTACCATAAAATGACAGCTGGAGACCTAAAGGTAGGGATGGAGCTGGCGAGGCTCTCTGTTCTGCCACGGCTTGGGCAGCGGGACTCATGGGTGGAGGTGATGCAGCTCCCCTGGGAAGCCTGACGCCAGCCAGCACCGCCTGGGAGGCTCTTGTGCAACAGCTTGGCCCGTGTCCTCCTTGGGGAAATCCCACCCAGCCTCCAGACCACCCCTGGGGCCGGCGGCCGTCCTGCTGCAGCTCTGACGCCCTGCTGGCCCCGCTGCCCCTGGACGTCAGCCCGGTCACCTCCCCGCGGCCCTGGAGGGGTTGTGTCAACATTTCTGACACCCACCCCACTTTCTTTTCCTTTGCGGGAGGAAATTGTTTACTCCCCTCCGACCTTTCGAGGATGCTGCTGGCATGGGAACTGGCCTCTGCAAAATCAGCTGGATCCATCAAACGGGGACTGATGCAGCCGATTCCAGCTCGGGAAGCAGCTGCCAGCCCGCTCCGATGGTTTCTGGGTCTGTAGCAGCACTGTGGCTTTTGCAGGATCTGGCACCAGCTGTGGACTGGATGCCTTTCCTCTCCACGGTCTTCTACCCCGTGGAGCTCAACGAGTCAGAGCCCGTCGTGGTCTACGCCAAGGAGTACCTGGAGCAGGTCTCTGACCTCATCCTGGCCACAGATAAGTGGTGAGAGCCCCCAGCCTGCATGGAGGGTGCCCAGGGTGGGCAGGCACGTCCTGCTGCACGCTCACCACCTCTCGCCACAGTCTCCTCAACAACTACATGATCTGGAACCTGGTGCGGAAAACCAGCCCCTTCCTTGACCAGCGCTTCCAAGATGCCGAGGAAAAATTCATGGAAGTGATGTATGGGACGAAAAAGGTGAGGGTGGAGCCCCAACAGCCCTGATTCACCATTAAAATGGTGGTGGGTTTTTAGGTCAAGCCCCCTTTCATGTGACATCCAGACAGTAGAGACATGGGGCAGGTTTTGGGGTGGCAGGGGATGGATGGATGGAGACCTCATCTCCTGGCAGGGTGCGAGGGTGAGAAGGAGCAGGGCTTTGGCCCCTGAGTGACCAGCCCCCTCTTGTCCCACACAGACCTGCCTCCCACGCTGGAAGTTTTGCATCAGCGACACAGACAACAACCTGGGCTTCGCCCTGGGGGCCATGTTCGTCAAGGCCACCTTCGCCGAGGACAGCAAGCAGGTGGTATGTCCCCGAGCTGGCAGCGTGCGAGTCCCTGTACTGGGAAAGCCACCGTGGTGCTGGAACTGTCCAGGCAGCCCATGTTTGTCTCCACGTGCCGGGTTTTTCACGGGCCCACGTGCTGTGTTGGCCGCCCAGCCCCTTCCTGCCCACTGGTGTGGAGGTCCGTGACCTCTCCGGAGTGGGACACCGGCTCTCCGGGCCGACGCTGTGCTGCCTTGTTTTGTCTAGGCAGAGGAAATGATTGCAGAGATTAAAACCGCCTTCGAGGAAAGCCTGGAGACGCTGCAGTGGATGGACGAAGAGACGAGGAAGTCGGCCAAAGAGAAGGTGAGGTGCTGGCGGCAGCGCTGGGCGGGGGGTGAGGATGGAGGGTGGTGGAGACGGGTGAGCCTGTCCGTCTGTTCCCGGCACCAAAAGCACTCTGGTCCTTGTCACCCCCCAGGCAGATGCCATCTACAACATGATTGGCTACCCCAAGTTCATCATGGACCCCAAGGAGCTCGATAAAGTCTTTAATGACGTGAGTTGGTTGGGTCGGTCCCCTGGGTCTTCTATAGGATGTACAGGACGTGCCCATCACCGTGGCCTCGGGGCAGCCTTGAACCCCACGTTTCCTCCAGAAGGGTCTCACTGATGTCCTTGGCCCTTCTCTGGGGACTTCCCAGAGAGCTGCTCTTGGGATCCCTGCCTGGGAAAAGGAGGGGCCGTTTTCCGTAACGGTGATTCATTGCCCTCCAGAGACTCGGCAGATGTTGGAGGGGAGGAGAAACAAGAGCGGCCGTAACTCAGGCGGCTCCGGAGGCTCGGCCGTGGCTGTAGAGGGAGGAGCGGGGCTGGGCAATCACCACACACCACTCATGCCTTGCTCTTTTGCAGTACGAGGCCGTGTCCGACCTCTACTTCGAGAACGTCATGCAGTTTTACAACTTCTCGGCCAGGGTCACGGCCGACCAGCTCCGCAAGCCGCCGAACCGCGACCAGTAAGTGCTCTGCTCCACTTCCCTCGTGTGCTCAGCAGGGAATATCGGGATATCTGGAGCCACTGGGATTTGGTTCTGGGGTGTGAGACTTGGGCCAGTGCAGCGTGGTGAGTGGGTGTTGTCGGAGCTGTGTTGTGTCCCTGCAGGTGGAGCATGACGCCTCCGACAGTCAACGCGTACTACTCTCCCACCAAGAACGAGATCGTCTTCCCCGCCGGCATCCTCCAGGCCCCCTTTTACACCCGGGCATCCCCCAAGTAAGAGCCCAGGGAAAACACTGAGGGCAGCATTCCCAAACTTCTTCCTGTGCCCAGATGTCATGGCTGTGGGGAGCGGTGGCTGCTCTCTAAGTCTCTGCCCTTCTGCAGGTCCCTGAATTTTGGTGGGATTGGCGTGGTGGTGGGCCATGAGCTGACACATGCCTTCGATGACCAAGGTACGGCCAGGGCCAGGTGTGGGCGGCTGGAGGGGTGGCCAGCGTGGTGATGAAGGATCCCACTGTGTTTTTGGCAGGCCGGGAATACGACAAGGACGGCAACTTGCGGCCCTGGTGGAAGAACTCCTCGGTGGAGGCCTTCAAGCGTCAGACAGAGTGCATGGTGGAGCAGTACGGCAACTACACCGTCAACGGCGAGGCCGTCAATGGCAAGCACACCCTCGGGGAGAACATTGCCGACAACGGGGGCCTCAAGGCCGCCTACAGGGTAGGGCTGCGGGGCTGGGGATGTGTGGTGGGGGACACGGCGTGGTGGGACCCGTGTGCCCTGAGCCCGCTGTGCTCCCTGGCCTGCAGGCATACCAGAACTGGCTGAAAAAGAACGGGGATGAGGAAACCCTCCCGACCCTCGGCCTCACCAACCACCAGCTCTTTTTCGTTGGCTTTGCTCAGGTGGGTCACGTGGCGGGCAGGGAGGGCGGGCATGCTGGTTTTTGGGGGTGGCGTGTGCCCAGATAGGGGTGGGAAGGTGTGGTGGCGAAACTGGGGCCTCCAGAGACGTAGTGGATGGTGAACCGGATCGGGGTGGTGCTGGTTACAAAGCGAGACGAAGCTGGCGCTCGAGCCACGGCGGATTCGGGCCCCATGGTGGCTGGGGGGTGTCGGGGGTGTCAGCACTCAGGCCCCTCGGCCCCGTTCGCAGGTGTGGTGTTCGGTTCGCACGCCGGAGAGCTCTCACGAGGGGCTCATCACCGACCCCCACAGCCCCTCGCGCTTCCGCGTCATCGGCACCGTCTCCAACTCGCGGGAGTTCGCAGAGCACTTCGGCTGCCCCGTGGGCTCCCCCATGAACCCCCCCAAGAAGTGCGAGGTCTGGTGAAGGGCGAGCGCCCCAGCGGGTGCCAGGGGCCGGTTGCTCCATCCTCTGCTGGGCTTCCCCGGCCCCGTGAGGCTCAAACCACTGCTCCGCGCCGGGGAGGGCCCAGCGCAGCCAGAGCTGCCCCGGTATCGTCCGAGGTTCGATCCACTGTGAAAACTCCCCATCCCCTCGCTCGCTGGTGAAATGACTGCAGTTTGGGGGGGGGTCTCTTCTTTCCCACCATGTCCACGGGCACTACCCTGAACCGCCACCCCAGCAAAATCCCTCTTTTTTTGGAGGGTGTAAAGGGAACTCCCGGCGCTGGCAGGTTTGTCTGCGTGTCTGAGCACACCCGACGTACCTTCCTCTCGCCAAAGATGCGCACACGAGGATGGAAAATATTTTAAGATGTATTTTTTTGGGGGGGTGGGGGGAAATATATATATTTTTTTCATGCATTGTGGAATACACTGGAAGATTTCAGGGAAAATGCATTTAAAAGCCTTTTTTTTAGTAAAAGATTAGTATATTTATTATTTTTTTTTACTTAGTGCAGCTGTAGGTGCAGCACCCTGTGGTGACAGTCCCTTTGCCAGGGAAGCTGGGTGGGGCCATGGATATAACTTTCCAGCCTTGGATCCTGTTTCTCCAGGAGGGGCTGTCCTCAGAGGATGCTTGTGGGAAAAGTGGGGACAGCAGGCTTGGGGACAGGGCTGGAGGGTGCTGCAAGGCACAGAGGCTGTGCCGGGATGCTCCTGGGATTAGCTTTAATTTGGGAGTGCAAAGGGAAAAGTTGACGTGCCAAAGATGTCACCAAGGTGGTGACGGTGTGGATGAAGCATCCGGTTCTCCCTCCTGTCCCCTCTGAAGCGAGGCCAGCCAGGATTTCCTGGCCCAAAAGCTTCCCCAGACAAGTGCAGGCAGTTCCTGCCGCTGCTCCTCTCGCCGCCGTGCCTGCACCCTCTGTGCCCGGGAATCTGCAAGCCCCCGAAATCACCACAAACCCCAAAACTCCGTCCCTCCACTGCTTGAGATCCGACTGGGATGGGGGCAAGGGGCTGTTAAAGGGATGTTTTTAATACTCATTTTGAGAGGAAAGCACTGACAGGAGCTCTCGGGTGCTGCCTGTTGTCACCTTCTTGCTCTGGACAGAAAGCACAGAGGGATTTTTAATATTTATATGTAAAGGGAGGGATGGGAGGGGCTGGTTTTTTTAACTATTTTTTCACCCTATGCGTGGGGGGCTTATTGTAATTGAAATAATAAATACTTTTTACTGGATCTGGAGCTGCTCATGACTTGTTTTTCTGATACCAGGAGTGTTTGCATCTCCCTGTCCACACTGCTGAGACCGTCCTGTGCTGACAAAACTGAGCTGAGGAATCTTTTCCCAGCCCGTGTTGGCACCTGCCCCCCCTCTTGGAGGCTAAATCCAGGCTTTTGTGCCCCAAACCCCGCTCTCGCTGCGTGTGGCTCTTTGCTTTCCCCCCTCTCTGGCCTGGCCCCACGCAGCTCCCCGGCAGGGAGGTCTTCCCTGGCTGCTTTTGCTTCCTCCCAGGCCAGTTTTTGGCCGGCCGGGCTGTGCCGGGATCCAGTGGCACAGGTTGCTCTCCAAGCTCCCTTATTTATAGCTCGATGATGCCATGGGATGCTGCCAGCTCCAGAGCCCGGGCCAGCGTTCC